CCGGGCCCCCGGGGCCCCGGCGAGCCGCCACCGCCGCTGCCCCCGCTGGCGGGCGTCCTCCCGCGCGCCGCGCAGCCGCGGTGAGGCGCCCGCTCGCCCCGGGCCGCGCTCCTGGGCCTTCCTGGGCGCTGGTCCCTTCCGCTGCCCCTGGGAAGGACTGCCCGGCTCTCCCTGGCGCCCCAGCCCGGTGTCCCCGAAGGGCCAAATGCCAAATGCCCTGAGGCTACTCCTCCCTGCGTCCTCCCTCCTGGCTGCTCCGTCTCGGAGCTACTTCCACCCGCTGGATGTACATACGCGTCTCTGCCCACCTCCCTCGCACCCCCCGAGTCCCTGCGGGCTCCCCAGGCACCCCGGTTCCCCAGCAGCAGGTGGGGTGACTCGCTTCTTCCTACTTCATCCCCTGCTCAGCGGCAGGCCGGCCTTTCTCCCCGCACCTCTGCGGGGCAGGTTGGGAGGCGGTGCTGAGCTCCCATCCCGGCTCCTTCATTCGCTCTGCGCCTGGGCTGGCGGCGGAGCTGTACATACAGTGTGCAAAGTGTATATGAAGTTATTTATTCGTGACCCATGAGCCCGTAACCGTGTCCGTGAGTCAGTGAGTCTGTGGCCTGTGCCCTCCCCGTCCCGGGTGGGTCAGGAAGGGGCCCAGGGAGCTTGCCCACTCATCCTGGGCCCCAGCCCCCACCTCCACTCTGGTCCGGGGGCAGCCAGATCTCTTGGGTTCTCTTTTTTTAATGTGGAAATAAACTTCTTACAAATGACCAAGCGCGTGTCCGCGCTGCCATCCGTTGGTCCCCGCTCAGGCTCTCTCCCACCCCTTCGTAAGGAACTTCTGCATCTCTCGGATCAGTCTCCTTCGGGTCTCAAAAAGGAGTTCGGCCCCTGCTGGGTTCCTTCGTGCTGTGGTTGTGCGTAGGGGACCCCGACTGGACACCTAGGCTGGGGCATCTTCTCCACATTTCCATAACGAGCCAAGCCCCGTAGCTCCCAGCCCTCCCTTCCTCTCCATCTGGTCCCTCGCCGCTCCCACACGGTCTCGGGAGCCACGGGCGGGGTCGGTGGCGGGGGTCAGCGCCTGGCCTCCCTCCGCTGCGGGCCGGGCTGCGGTGCTCTCGCTGAGCCGACTTATCTGGCCGAGACAAGGGCGCCGGCAGCTGGTGACCGGCCCTCCGGGCGCGGGGCCGACAGATGGACTGCGAGGCTGCTCTCCCTCGCCCCACCCTCCTCCGCCCCGCGCCCCCAGTTCTGCCGCTCGGGCGCCACCGCAGCTCCTGGCCTCTCGTGCCAGGTAGGACCCCACCCGCATTTGCGAGCTGACACCACATCGGGTAACCCTTACTCTCCATCCTCGACGCTCCGCCCCCACCTTGCCCTCGGAGAAATAAGGGGTGTGGGAGGAACCAGAGAAGCCAACCCCAGGGTCTAGCCCACCCGGTTCCTTCCCCCTGCCCGCCTGTGGCTGAGAGATCTCAGGGGAGCCAGACTGGGGATCGTGTTCAAAGGGCAAGGTCACCATTCCCTCTCCTGGGATGTGGGCGCAGGTGCGCACCTCCCCACACCACCTGCAGCACACTGACTCCCGCGATGGGAGAAATGCTGGGAAGTTTGGGTGCTTGCAAGTAAAGGATCCGCCCCACCGCAGGGCAGGGCTGCGCAGGGAGAGAACCGGGCAGTAGGAGTGGTTGGGGGTGTGTTCAGTCTGTAACACCCCAAACCGCAGCCAGGTCTGCCACACTTTCCTCCCCACCCCCAACAACCTCACACCAGCTTCTCCTTTCTGGGTGGGTGAGGGTATTATTCTAATTTTGCAAAATGCACAGCAGCTAATTAAGTCAAGGAGCCTCTCGGCTTTCGAGTTCTTTTGCATGTGAATGGGGGTTGGTAAATCCCTGGCTCTGGCGGGGGTGGGGGTGAGGGGGGACTGTCCCCAACTCAGGGTTAATGAAGTGGGAAAGGAGTCTCTCATAGCCTCCTGCAAACAAAACCCCCCAAGCAACAAACCCTGCCCAAATCCTACATGGATTGACTTAAACCCAGGGGATAAGTGCTTTAAATTAATCTCATTGAATAAGAATGAGACCAAACAAAACTCTTTAAAATCATATTAAAAATCTATCAAAGGACAACTTGCAGTGGTGTGCTTTTCATTTTGTGAGAGTGGAGGAGGCAGGCAAGAGCAGCCACCCTCACATTTACACAGCGCAGTGTAAACCACAGACACATTCTCCACTATGTAATTGTCCTTGTACGGCAGAGGCGATTTCATATCTTACATTAATGAAGAACAAGGCTTCCCTACAAGTTTATAATTACAATATTTTAAATTGTCCTGCACATCCCATCTGTAATAATAACTTCACAACCTCTGCAGTGAGGTGGGCTTCCCATCCATTTAGAAGGCTAAATTGGTTTTTCTGTTCCTAACCCTGGGGCTGGGTGAGCTCATTTAAAACAGAGAAAAAAAAGAAAAAGAATGACCATGGACCCCCAGCAGACCAAACAATGGAGGCTCTCCCATCTACCCATTCCCCTTCAAAATCTGGACTCCACAGGGTGGGGTCAAAGACATCCAAGAAACGGTTTGTTCTTCCTCCAGCTGGCCCTCAGCTGCAAGACTTCAGAGACCTGAGCTGCCTTTTCAAGGGGGCCCCACCACTCCCACAGCTCGGCTCTCAATTTTTCCCATGGTGGAGGGGATTGAGAAAGTTTAATGGTTACCCAGTAACTTTAGCAAGACCAGTTAAGCATATTTTTCCCATCAGGGAGACTTCTCCCAGGAAAAGCCTTAAGTTTCTGTGTCTGGGAGTGGTGGTTGGATTTTGATGGCTTCTGCTGGCTGTGAAGTGCAGGGTGGACATTTACTTTTCTCTTCCCTTTCACCCCTGGGAGTAAACATTTCAAAGCAGCACACTGGCTATCCAAAATGTTCTTGTCTGGGCTACGCCAGGCCCTGGCATCTGTGGGAGTGGAGATGCAGGGGGCGCCTACAGAGGACTTTCTGCCCTTCCAGGCTCGAGACCCCGACTCTTCACAGAGAGCAGCTGGAAGGCTCTGGATTCCAAAAACCATTCCCACGGGGGACAAAGCTCTAGGCCAGAACATTCCAGTCAATGTCTAAATTTTCTGAGACTTCAATTTGGCAACCAGGATGATGTCATAAAAAATAGTAAGTCCGCAAAATTAGAAAAGGTATGATTAAAAATACAAAATTAGAAACGTACGCTGGAGTTTGGCTACCACTGTGCCTGACTGACACTCAATGTACAAGCTGTCAAGATCCATGAGAGGTTTATTTTAAGGTTGTTTAAATTTAGGTAATATCAACTCTAGATCTGCTAAGTTCCCTGTTTCCTTACTAACTGGGTAATATATTCATTTTACTCAGCAGCAGAGCCACACACAGCATCTCTGGCAAGATACCCTCACTTAAAAGTTAGCACATTGCACGTGTCTAAGCTTTAATCTTAGAATTAAGGTTGCTTACACTTCAGCAAGCTCTAGCACTTCTTCCCCAGGAACAGAGTGCTACAACTGGACCTTCAGCTCGGGGAAGAGCACAAGGCTTTCTACACGGCCATTCCAGCACTAATCCTGTCTCACACAGCTACATAATTTGATCCCTTCTTTCCCACCAAAACCATGTGAGCTATTATAAATCAAAAGGGCAGCTTTGTCCAGTTTCACACATGCTGCAGGTTTAAATGATCCAGATTTCACAACAGTGCCTCTAGACAACCCACCCTCTGCACAGATCTCTTCCTAGTGTAGGTGTTCAAGTGCCATGCTTCCCTGAGACAGCCTGGGCCCCTCCACCTCCCATCCTTCTGGCTGTCAGTCACATGCATCTGGGGCGGGCCTAACAAAGTACGTTGTGGTACTTGCCCCAGGGCCACCTTGGAGAGCCAAGGTGGGCCTGGCACACAGAGGAAAGCAGGGAACAGAACAGTGCAGGGACAGACTGGGCTGCACTTTAACCCTCTCTTGTGGGCCCCTCTGTGATGTCCAAATCTTACATTTATTGGGAAATCAATACGCTCCAGGGGTCCGCTTTCAAACCTCCCAGAAACACAATGGTGGGGGTGGGTGCTTCTGGGTCTAGGTCACAACACAAAGACCCCGGACCTTTCTTCAAGACAAGACAGGCTGCGATGGGAAAAAAAGCTCAGGCTCTGGTGCGTTTTGACTTCAAAGGCAAATAATAAAAAGGCAACAGTAAATCAATTAGCCCTGAAAAAGCGGATTTTCTGCGGACATGAAAGGGGTGGCAAAGCACACTGATGCCATGCCATGTCCCTGTTTACTGAAGAAAAGCAGCAACCCGCCACCACCACATGCACGAGCACACACATACACACGTTGGGATTTTTGACCCAGACCAGAAACCTTTCTTGGTCCTTCATAACATTCGGACATTAAGAAAATAGCTCTCTGACAAACGCTTTTTCTCCTTTTGCATGAGTCCAGTTCGTTTCTAACATCCCATCTTACTACACTCGTGCCAATACACGGGCAGTCCGCTGCGGCTGGCAGGCTTGCCAAAAGCCAAACCTTCCAGGCTGATGCACAAGACATTGTCCCTGTGTATAATCTGGTTAGAGACCCTGATTGGTGGGTGACTGTCCCTGATGGAGCAGATGCAATTCTCCTTTCTCAAAGGAAGGCTAGTCAATGGCACCTGCGTGCTGGTCTCTGTCAGGGCTCTTGCTCTGACAGGAGAGAGGATCTGTAATTCCTGTGAGCCTGTATTTGGGGAGGTGTCAAAACAGTTCTTTCCAGAAGCTTCACTGATGAGATCATCAATCCAGACCCACTGAGCCTCTTAATCTTGGATCCACCTGGATCCAGTCCTGCAGAGGTTTAAAAACCTTTCCAAGAAGCTTGGGGCCCCTGGGTCGGCCTTCCTGGGTCGTCTTGGTGCTGGGAGCAGCTTCGTCTCTCCCATGGCCTCTGTTTGCTGGGCGCTGGCTGTTGTCTGCCTCGCTTTCCGCCCTTGGCACCTCCAGCCTCCAGCCCACTTGAGTATTCTGAGCGCAGGAGTTCGCCGACTGCAAGGCGGTGCTTACCCGGGGTCTTCTTCCAAGGGTCAGGCCTGAGGAACAGTAACAGCCAGGGAAGAAGCTTTAGTATTTTTTCTCTCCCATTTGGAAGGAGGCTGACGGCAGCTGGCTCTGAGACTGGGAAGCTGACATTTTTGTATTAGCAGGAGTGTGATTCCTTCAATAGTGCTTGTTTTGATATTCCATGCACCAGAAGATTAGATACGGCACTGACAGATTTTCATAACGGTGGCAAAATATCATGGCATTTTTAAAAGTAAGGCTTTGTTCTGTGTTGTTTTCTCGGGGAAAAAAAAAGAAGCCTACACCTTCATAGTCTGGTGGCAAACGAGGGGTGTGATACAGCGGTTTGCCCACGGACGGGAAAGCCATGGAAAACCCACACCAAGCAGTGCATTGCAATGCTTCCCAGAGCCCAGGGCTTGGGGGCTGTGCCCTTGAAGACAGTCTGCAGGCCCAGTGCTCTGTTGGGTCAGTCACAAAGGCACAGTTGCCAGCACAAATGCCCATCACTCACCACAGTTAAAAGTGCTCCAACCTGGGGCTGGAGAGATGGCTCAGCAGTTAAGAACACTGGTTGTTCTTGCAGAAGACCCAGGTTCAAATCCCAGCACCCACATGGTAGCTAACAACTGTCCTTAACTCCAGTCCCAGGGGATCCAACAGCCTCTTCTGACCTCCGAGGGCACTGCACAACATGGGTGCACTTACCTACATGCAGGCAATACATGCATACACGTAAAATAAAAAGTTTTTTTAAAAGTTTAAAAAAAAAAGTACTCCAACCCTGCAAAACCCAAGCCTGGGTATGTCTGAGGCTCAAACCAGCAGGTCTGCCACCACAGACCCAGGCCAGAAGGTCACTCCTTCTCCTGATTCACAAGGAAGATGACAAAGGCAGACACCAGGCTTAGTATAAATTTCCAAAAACTTCTGGAAAGACAGCAGTCTTCCCACTTACTCGGAAGAGGAAATTTGTAGCAATTCAATCATCCACAGAAGAACCTGAAGAATAAAATGTTTAAGATTTTTATCCAAACACAGAAGTAATGACCAGTAAGTCCACACAGGCTTGCTGGCAGGTCCTTCAGCACCCAGATGGCAGTTAACCCAGAAAACATGACATCAGGAGTTCTTAATCCCAGCACTTGGGAGGCAGAGGCAGGTGGATCTCTGAGTTCAAGGCCAGCCTGGTCTACACAGTGAGTTCCAGGCCAGCTGGGGCTACAGAGAGACCCTGTCTCAAAGACAAAAAAAAAAAAAAAAAAAAAAAAAACCAAACCAAACAAAAGACCCCCAAAAGGCACCATCCTGTGCAACACCACACCATGTTCTGTGCTGCAACCACCTGAGGATAAAGCAGACCAGAACTGTGGTCAAAATACATAGAACTCCTTTAAAATCCGAGAATTAGATACAAGATTAGCACTGTACTATTAACCTAAGAAGGCTTGAGGAATCCCATTACATCAAAGTTGAAGTTATTTATAACCCTAACCAGAGGACAGGGCTATGACTATCTGATCCTTTGACAGGGAAAAAGATTTGAAGAAAAGGTATAATTAGCACACAATATTTAGGGCTAGAAGTTTATGGAGCCCAAGTGTGCAGGGGGAGGGTTCATGGAAATCAGGTGTACACAGGGAGATCTCCTGGGGTCCTGTGTCATGATCCTCAGACACCATCTCCCGCAGTCCCTGCTTGACAAGGCAGACACTTGTCACTGACCCCCACTTCACAGGTAAGGACAGAAGACTGGAGGGAGGTGAGAACTTGCCAAGAGCGTGTAGACAGTGAATACAAAAGCCAACATGCAAACCCAAGGCCAGGGAGCCTACACTCTAACATCCAGGTGGCCCAGGACAGCAAGGTCCTGGCCAGGCCAGATCAGACCAGGGGAGGTGATCAGGATTGGGTACAGGAGTCCTGGCTCTCACAGGCCTACTTCAAAGGAACCGAAGCCAGTAGAGTCAGGTGACAGCACGGAGCAGGGCTGGGGGAGGGGTGCCAGGGCAGGGACCAGCCCCACCACTCACTAGCCAAATGACACAGAATGTGTTAGATTCTGTGACTCACCTCCTCATCTGAAAAGGAGCCATTAGAAAACACTCATAAGGCTCTTGAGGATGGACTGAAATATGAGACATGGGGCCACGGGGCTCAAAGCGGCTCGGCACCGAACAGCAGCAGCTACTCTCGCACAGGACCCAGTTAAGTGTCCAGCACCTTACCTGGTGGCTCACAACCACGGGTTACTTCAGCTCCAGGGAACCTAACACCCCCTCTTCTGGACTGGGGTCGGGGGAACGACACCTGCACTTACATGCACCCACGCACACATACACACACACACTTAAAACAAAAAACCAAAGTGCCAGCTGGACAGTTGGAAATGGGAAATGGTTACAGCATACTGCCGCCAGGTTTGCTCTGGGGCCCTCAAGTGGGTGTTAAGCCACTGTATCCCCATTCTTAATGTTCAATGATGCTGATCCTGGACTCTGGTCCCTGGCCAAGGTCTGAGCTTCGAGGGCTGGTACCTGTGTAAACAGCAGACAGACCCTGGGGTTGGGAGCACTGACTCGCTCCAAACTGAAGGCTGCCACTTAAGAGTGCGTGTAGTTTATTTTTAGTCAGATTACATGACAGAGTGAAAAGGTTCTGACAGGAAGGAATGCTTTTTCTTCCATCTCGTTTGAAGTCAGGTACTCACAACGTGTATAATTTTAAATGTAACCACTTGAGTTTCAAACTATGCAAAATTTCAGTCAAAATAGTCTTGCAGCACAAGCCCAAGTGCTTCAGTGATGGCTCCTGTGGTCGCTGAAGCTCACAAGCACCAGGATCTCACTCGGGTGATACACTGCCTACAGACCCAGGGTGGGCTGCACAGAGCTCCTCCAGCACAAGGCACACAGGCAGCCTGCAATGCTCCAGGCCTGCAGTCCACCAGGCAGGGCTGGAGAAACGGCTCAGAAGGCCACACCCAGGCATGCAGATGCCCAGTGCAGGCACACCTCCCCAGACAACCCCACCCCACAAAAGCCCCTTCCATAGCTTCAAGAGTCATCCCTTTGCAGGCAAAGGCAGCTGTGTCTGGGGCAGCGGAAGGTAAGCTCTGGAGGGTATGCTGAACCACAGGATAGGAAGATTTCAACATCTTTACTCCACATTGCCAGAGAACGCCACTAGAAAGCTCAGCCTGGGCTGAGTGGCTCAGTGGCAGTACACGCTTAGCAGGTACAGTGATGACTAGATGGTCCTGCTCACCTTTGACTCACCTCCTAACCAGCTCCTAACCAGCAAATCCAGAAGCCCATCTGTAAAGCAAGCTTGGTGACCCAGCAAACAGGCACCCACTCTTTCTAACTCAGGCCTCTCCACTGGGTGGGCAGCCCTGCAGGGTGTCGCATCACAATGGCCATGCCTACAGGATGCACCTCTCCCACGGCCAGCTCCCTGGCTCCCTGGTTTTAAAGCCTATAGCTGGGAGAGTAGAGATGGGCAGATGAACGGCTCTAAACACAAGCATGAGCCGGGCACTCATGCCTTCTGCCAAGCCGCAGTTCTCCCAGGAACCTGCCAACTTTCTTGCCCTCTAAATACGTGGACCTTCTTACTAGGCGTCCTGCGCATCCACCACAGTAATCCTGTGGTTACCCAGCAAGAGACCTTCAGTTTATCTAACAGCAAGAACTCCCTTGTAGTGAAGGCTGAAGACCCCTGTTCACCAGGCTGGGTTACTCAGAGGGACAGGCAGATGTCACTAACACGGCAGTAAGGAAAAGTCCACCTAAGCAATCATCAGCACACAGCCACTGGCTGCTGGAGGAGCAACACAGAAGTGGCATCTCAGGTAAGAAGCCATCCCAACACAGGACCTCGCTCACGGCGTTCTTTATAGGACAGGCTTTGAAAGTTCTCCTTTCTGAACTTATGGATTACCGTATTATGTGTTCAGCCTATTAGTTTTCTTTTCTTCTTTTTTAAAATTTCTCTCATGAACAGAAGGTTTTGTTCTAGGATTTTAAGAAAATACTTGGCTGGGTGAGGAGGTGTATGCCTTTAATCCCATACTCAGGAGGCAGGGGCAGGTGGATTTCCATGAGGCTAGCCTGGTCTACATAGCAAGTTCCAGGCCAGCTGGGGCTACAAGGAAACCTTGTCTCAAAAAGAGAAAAGGTCGTCCACAACAACCATTCAACAATGAACCCAAGTCAACCTCAGACCACGAACTTCTGCACAACTTCCAGGGCTGTAGCTTCACAGTTCTTACAAGGGGCACACACTCCTTTAATAACCGGAAACAAACACCAGTAGAGTTGCTGTAGAGGAAATGAACAAGCAGTATAATTTTGCCCTATACTCAAACCCCAGAGTACTTAAATTTCTATTCATCAAATCTTTGCCAGGGCTGGAGAGATGGCTCAGCAGTTAAGAGCACTGGCTGCTCTTGCAGAGGACCTGGGGTCGAGTCCCAGCACCCACATGGCACCTAACAACTGTCCATAACTCCAGTTCCAGGACATCTGATGCCCTCTTCTGACCTCCACAGGCATTGCACGACATGAGTACCTACCTATATGCAGGCAAAATATACACATACAAAAATTTAGAAGAATATATTTTTGTGTGTATGCATGTACTACCTGCGTGTAATTAAGTGCACCCATATCGTGCAATGCCCGCAGAGGTCAGAAGAGGCTGTCAGATCCCCTGAAACTGGCATTACAGACAGTTGTTAGCTGCCATGTGGGTGCTGGGATTTGAACCCAGGTCTTCTGCAAGAGCAACCAGTATTCTTAACTGCTGAGCCGTCTCTCCAGACCACAATAAAACATTTTAAAAATGCTCACTGCCTTCTGGCTTTCAGTTAGACTCTACAAGTCTTTCTATTGCACTGCAATTACAACACCCCACAGACCAGCCGCTCTTCAAGCTGGAAGACTCAGTTTTAAGCAAATGACCCAGAGCTGCCATCCAGGAGGCAGTGATGACCTCGGGGGATCCCAGGTTGACTGCAAGTGTCTCC